GGACATCGTTCGCTTAAGAAACCATTCAGGTCAGTATTGTTTGTCCGGTGGTCCCATCATAGTCTAGCAGGCAGAGCAAATAGCGGTGTTCGAGCACCAGTAGCCCTTGTTTTCACAGCCATTTTTGAACTCTGCACCATCTAACAGCAACTGCAACGGCACACTCATTCCTTCCCAGACGGCCGTATATTTGGCGGTGGTGGTGCAATAGCTGTCTTCAATTGGCAAACACCAGCCGAGTTATCTACAAGCGTGCCTACACCGTGACGTGGTGTGATAGCTTGCATGTATTTACCACCCCGCCAACCACAGAACGGCTTTTCACAGCCTCAGATCTAATCACGTCTGGATCAGTAATCAGTAGAGTGTATATATTTCACCGGCTTCAGAACAAGCATGGTGTCCACGCATAACAATAATAATGAAGTTATGCAAGGGTACAGAAAAATTAAATAAAAATGGGGAAAAACGAGAACAGGGAGAACAAAAGAATGAATGAATGTTTTTTTATAGTTTCACCGCACACTTTTTTACGTTTTTCTTGTCTTTTATGGGGAACGGGTTTCGGAAAACAAACCGCACAGCGATCGCGCCATTGATATCTATTCTGAGCGATGTCTCTGTAGCTGTCACCAATCCTCATCCCCTGGACCCCAGCCTGGAAGGCCAGCTACACCAACCAAAGTCAATGCTGAGGTTAACTTCTTCGTACCTCTACGCCATATCATGGCCTGACCAACCAATCGGGCCTGCTGTATATGCGCCGACACTTCATCCGTGATGCGTCCGTCGGGTGAGATATAGCTGCCCAGATAGCAAAGTTGGTTTACTTCCCCAGTCAGTGAGGTTGGGAACTGAGCCAACTCATTCTCGTAGCAACGTTTTACACTTTGAAAAACGAAAACCGAACATGGTTACACTGGCATTCAAGCTGTCCAGAAAAGCTTGCCAATTACCTGAATTTTCACTTGGTATCACAGTGCCATCTGCATATTCTAAATCAGACAGTCTACCACCTGGGAGTACATCGACACCGCTATCCCCGCAGAAGAATAGGGCTCTTTTAAGTCTTGAGGGTACGAGCTAAATATGCCTGTTGTCATAGACGCATCAAGGTACGCACGGTAAAAGTGGCTGGTTTAAACGGGCATCGGAGACGAAGAAGATCTTTAATTGATGGAGAAGGATTCGGTGAGACTTGGATGCTATTCGAGGCAGAAAGCTAGAGAATAGAGGCGGAATTTCCATGGGAGGCACAACTGATAGTAAGGTCGTCTAAAGATCCTGATGACGCTGGGAATGTTTGTGGGGGTGAATGTTAAGTAGATCAAAAACTGAGAAATGAAATGATGTGCACGGTGCAAAACGTTTCCTTTTTAATGCGAGAGAAAAACTGAAAGAGCGATTATTGGATAAGTTTGGGTTCATTTTTGTTTGCATCGTGACAGCCGACTTTGTGCCTTACGTCTGGATTGTTCAAAACGATGCGTCGGTGCTTATTCGTCGTATCTGCGTATGCACCGGAAAGACAACGGAGATGGTCCACTCAAACTTTGTGCTGGTAACGGACTGTTTCTGTCAAGCACGAACTTCTCGCACAAAAAACGGCACCGCCTTACATGGAGACCGTTAACTTCTTCATAGCGCTGGGCTCAAATCGACCACATCGCCAGCCACCGCTGGAGAGGATCCATTGAAGACTGCCACTCCTACTGGTCAACACCCGTGGGCACGGACCAGCGAGCGAGGTTCTCCCTACGCCTGATAAACAACCGCAGAAAAGCCGCCGAAAACGGATGCCCACAAAACACTATCACCGACAGTTGCAAATCGGCCTTCGAAGCGGAACTATCAGATCGCCTCTCAACTCAACCATCAACCGGAGGACTCAGCGAACACTAGTCGGCAATCAAGGAAGCGATCCAAATTTCATTCAAAACAATGGCGAACTCTGCCGCACGATCAAAGCAAAAACGATGAATCTCCGCAACCTCGGTTGCCCTGATGGACGCTTGCAAAGCCATTCCATCGGATTCAAGATACGACAAAGTGCGCAAATCCCTTAAACGCCAGCTCATCGAGAGTCTTAGGAATGACCGCGAGAAGTAGTGGGTAGAGAATTGTAAAGGGAAGGAGAAGGCTGCGAATATCAGTAATAGTCGCAATCTTTTTCTTTTCATTAAGAGTACAGGACTACGGGAAGCAGGCTTCAGTGAGGTAATTAAGGAGTCTGACGGCATGTTGATTCAAATTCAGGAACATCGTCTTGAACGTTGGGCAGAACATTTTAAGACACAGTTCAGCTAGTCTCCTTCGACACAAGATCCCCTCCCCCGGTTTAATTGTGCAAATGCTGCCAGTTGACATCACTCCTCTATCTGAAATGGAATATACCCGGGAAATAAGTTTTCTCAAACGGCATGAGGCTTCCGGCCCAGACAGGCTGTCCCCATCCGTTTTTGAGGATAGAGGTTCAGCTTCGGTTTTGGAGTGAACAAAACCCCTGGGTTCAGTGTGGGAGAGGGAAGAGGTTCCAACTGAATGGTGTGAATCCATGATTTTACGGATTTACAAGAAAAGTGACAGATCCTCCTGTGAAAACCACAGAGAAATTAGTTTAATCTCGCTGGTATCGTACTCCGTCGATTGTCTGCTGCACATGAACGCTTCACGCGTGAGAACCAGGCTGGCTTCAGACCTGGTCGAAGCTGTATTGACCAC